TTTACATTTGCATTCCAAATAGGATTCTAATTAATGTGTACTTTAATTAGAACTCTCAATTATTTTCAATAAAAAATTCGAATCATATCCAAATTTTAACACTTTTTAACTTCTCAAAATCCAGCTAAATGGGACTGTCATGTCCCACATGATATTGATAGACTATAATAATGTAGATTTGTACTTTAAAGTTACTTTTACAACTTTCTACAAAATAATTTTTTTGAGTACAATGAAGGGTAAAATTTCAATAAACTAAGTTGTAGTTTGATGGTAATTATTGTATAAAAATGATATTTTGAATAGTAATTTTTTGGAAAATGTGTAGGTAGAAGATTTCACGAAACCCTTGTCACTTAGTTTTCGACTTTTCGGGGGATTTCTTGATTTACTACGTGATGATTTTATTGAAAAAGATCGAAGTCGCTGTATGTACTTTACTTAAGATTGGGTCTCTCTACCAGATATTTTGGATATTCCTCAATATCCCGGTTATTCACGGAACGTGGAAGAAATCGAAGAATTTCTTGAGAATCTTACAAGATCCGTTCGTAAAAGTGAGGAAAAATGGGTTTACGTGTAAAATGTATAAATGTATGATTAAATATAAGTATGAGAAATATTTATTTATTTTTTTGTAAGGGAGTCAATAATGGACTAAGAATAAAATTACGAGGCCCAATTCTTAATAATAAAAAATAACTTCAAATTTATGGTTGATTAAATAAATAAATTACTAAAAGTAAATACATTTCGTACTTTTAAACAAAAGTAAATGATACGTTTTTTTAATTGCAAGTGTACGATATCGTAACAAGTAATACAATGGACATTTGAGTCCGAATTATCGTTCCCATGAGAACTATACTTTAGAATTTAATTAAAATTTTCTAACTCTTATTTGATGAAAGTAAACAATGAACTATACTTTGTGAATTGTTTTTTATTTAAACAAGTGAAATTAATTAAAAATACACACAAAAATTGATTGAGAATTCAAATAATGAACGGATATTAGAGTCGAATAATTTCACATATTGGTCATATTTAAGTTTTAATTCAAAATTCAAGAGCCTAATGTAGTATTCGATCAAATTCTTCTATGGTCTTCAATTTACCATTCTTGAGTTCTCATTGAACATATTCAACAAATTCAATCACATATCTCTATGTGAATTTACCTTAGTTAAACGAAATATTGGTTCTAAAAATTCATATGATGGTCGTAATATTTAGTATATGTATCTTTAGATATTATACTAATATACCGAATTTTAATATATGGTTTAAATCTCAAACCCACCTCTTGATTGGTAAAAGATTCACAAAATAATCAAATTAGTGATCAAGTAATTTAAACTCATAGCAAAATCAATACATGTATGATAAAATAACAAGAATCTGAAATAAATGACATAAATGGTATTAAGTAGATTACATTATTCGCACTAATATAAAATTTAGTTACTCATCATAAATGAAGAAGAAAACAAGAAGTTGTTATTGAATACATCACCGAATTTTTAATATAGATGTAGAAAAAAAAATCCAATCTTGCACCAAGATATTCTTCCTCTTCCAATCAATTCTTCAAAATGTGAATTTCTTAATGCTTTTCTCCATTGAATTGCTTTCTTCCATCTCTCGTTGTATTCTCTTTCTTTCAATGTGTAGCCCTTCAAAGCACTAAGTAACGTCCCGTTATACTCATCTCCACGGTTGTATGAATATAAGGTTTCTCGTGGGCTCAAAAGTTGGCCAAAAAAAAAAAATGGATCTTGGGCATCGCAGTGCCGCGTCCACTGCTCTGTTCCCTTTAGCTTTTGTAGCGCCGAGGTACCACACCTCTAATGTCTTCTGCATTGTGGCGCCACTCTTCTTTTCTTGATCTTTCTATTTGACTATTTTGCCCTTTTTTTTACCATGCCATGGCATCGTCTCTTTTCCTTTCGTGATTTGCGTCGTCTCACTACTATTACAAAACAATACTAATTAATACATTAAAAACGTTCACTACTCATAATATTTAGCTCATAATTAAGTTTAAAAGGAGTAAAATTCATGAGTAAAACACACTCATCGGTAAACCAATCATGCTACAAGTATAAAAAGATTTCATAATTTTTTTTTACAAACAACACATTAAGCGACATCAATGGAAGATAGGGAAAAAAAAAAAAGAATCCAATCACATCTTGCCACGTCAACATTGATAAAAATTAAACATATATCAAACACATTTTTTTTGTATGTTTAATGGATATTATTGAGAAAAAATGTATTTTAAATAGTGATATGATGGAAGATATGTGGTTAAAAAGTAAAAAAAAAATTATTGATGTTATGAAAAATATTATTTTATTAAAAAATGTGTTATTAAAAATATATTTTAAAATAATATATTTTTTAAAAATTGTGTGCAAACTCGGACTTGATTATTGAAAACGTAGCTCAGCTGAGAAAGTAATGTGACAATGATGACGACATTGATTTAGGCCTGCATGACGTCACAAAGAGCCGGCTTCCCTTAGCGTGCGCCACGTAGAGAGATTGGGTACACTAGAAATTGCCCGCTCATTAAAGAGCTTACACGACTGTAGACCCGACAAAGGAAACCAGATCCAATGTGATGCAGGTCGAATCCAATTAAATGCCTGACAACGACAGCGTTTCTATTATTAGCATGCACTGAGGAAAAAAATTGTTTTATCAAATAATAGTAACTTATGGCGTTACTTTTGACATTTTTAAATATATTTTGGTGGATTTATACGAAGATATCTTTTAACTATCTTGGAATTAATATTTAAGTAACATGAAACATTATAATACCATTCTATCACTTTTTTTTAGTCATTTGTTGTATCAATTGATATATAAAGTTTGAATTGATAGATAACATCACATATATATCATTTAAATATTATTTTCTACGTACTCCTTCACATGTAGATAATGTTAATTATTTTCATTATAGTCTTAACAGTTACAAAATTGTTTTTAAATATGACAAAAGCAATGACAACATGTAAATGATTCAAATATCACTTGATCTAAAAAGGTAAAGTCGTTATATGAACTGCTTATTATCTTCAACACCATTTAAACATAATTTATTAAATTTTCTTAACTCACTTCCTAAAATAGTATTCAATATACTGATATAACTATTTTTTTTTTTTTTTAAATTAAGGTTGTTGTAAGCTAGTGGATTTAAGGATTAGCGTGCATGTATAACTCTTTAAACTTCGATGACAAGATTACGACTATCCATGCTGTTACATAGGAATTCGAAGGTGTCACATAATCAACGAATCTCAACTCCTCTCTTGTCTTGTCTACGTATATGTTACATGTACACTTAGACAGTTGGGAGATTGTTCATGACCATAAATCTAGCAAGGTGCTACGATCGTGGGCACTCCAACATTCAACTCTAACGATCAATTATATATATACACACGGTTGAGACCCAATGAAACCTAATATATACGTCGAGTTTAAAAAGAGAATACTGGATTTGCTATTAGCAAATATATTGCTTAGTGTTTCATATGGATGGCAACGGGCCGAGGGGGGGCAACCTCCCCCACCTGCCCTGCTAAGCAATTCCCCTCCTCGTTACCCTATTTAAGGAAAGGTTCAGCGGGCCGGTCCTTGCCCCATTTATTATCCCGTTTAATTTTTTTTTTTTAAAGTTTTTGATAATTTATTTTATTTTCCCCGTTCATTAGATCGAGATAAATAATTTTAGTTGTCATTTTCTATTAAACCTAATGAACTTTTATGAAATTTTTCATTTAAAGTATTGAATTCTAAAAAAAAAATAAAATTTAAACGGGGCGGGGCACCCGTTACCGGTCCCAAACCTGCTCTGTCCCCGACCCGAATACTCGAATACCTGATTAAGCGGGTTACGGGGTGCGGCCCTCAAATATCGAGTTTGTCAGGTTTTTTTGTTATTCCTAGTGTTTCATTGTTAAAATAACCTTACCTTTGGAAGACACAAGTGTGAACTTCTATTCTAAGAGAGAAGTGATGTCCATTGGATGTTTGACACGTGACATTATCTTGAATCCTTGATGGCTCACTGGTCAAAAGATGTCAATCCCAATAAGCATGTGCCCACTTGATACAAGCTGAAAAATAGCCACCCTATATCATAAAATGATCTGAAATGTAAATTGAAAAGTTGACACGGTGTATCTATTGTATGCTCCCAAGTGTGTCTGAGTATTTTTTCATCGATGTGGTATTTGCAAAAGATGCTATCATATTGAAAATAAACACATTGAAAATACACTGTAGTATGATGTGGCACCTCAACTCGAAAGTATCACTTTGGGAATAATTTGTCACCTCGGAAGAACCAATTTGGAGGTGATACCGCGCCCAGAGGGTTATATCGCGTCTTGAGAGGTAGCCAATCATTTTAGAGGAGGTTCCCAACCACCTTGTCCAATTGTCCAACCACATCGGAGAGAAGTGTGGGAGTGATATGAGATGGAGTGTGAATCTTACCTGACTTCATGCTTGAATAATGCTATTTATTATTGATGATGAACAAGAAGTCACTCTCAAATATCTTTAGTTGGCACGCTCAGTTAGATTCATTGTAGTGGTGATGAACAGCTCGCCACTGTCGTATACCCTTAGTTGGCATATTCAATTGGAGTCATGTAAGATTAATTTCTCAAAATATGTTTTTAATAATTAATCACTAACCCCAATTAATTATGTTCTAAAATCTAACCGTTGAGTTGGAGAAATTAATAAGTGTTGTACGCGCCTATTGAGCCGTGGACAACGGCTTTAATACTCTATTTATTCTTCAGTACGTGGCTTCCAATTAGCTTCGTAAGCAAATCCCACATACTCCAGTTTTATATTTTCCGTCTCCATTTTCCCTTTCCTCCCATCTTCAATTTTTCCTCCTCTTTCCTTTTCCTCCCTCAGAACCTATAAATCTGAAGCCCTTTTCCTTTAAAACAAATATCATAATGGACAAATTGCTCACTGTTAATCAAAAAAAGGCATCAAAACAGCCCAAGAACAAGAAAAAGCCAGTCAAGGTTGTGTACATAACAAACCCTATCAAGTTCAACACTAGTGCCTCAGAATTCAGGTCCCTGGTCCAAGAACTCACTGGACAAGACGCCGATACGCCTGAGTACTCCCCCAAGTTCGTGCAGGCTAACGGTGTCGGCAACGTAGAGGTGGCTGACGCCGTGAAAGTGGAGGAGGATCATGCACCTGTTGCACCACTTGAGGTGGTGCCTACTGTAGTAGGGCAACTGCATCCTAGTTACGGTGAAGTTTCAAGAATATCTGATCAGGGCTCTGGGACATTTGACCATGGCATTTACTCTCCACAGATGGAGGATAATTTCCAGGAGCTAATGCCTTCATTTCAGTGGCATGAAACTTCCCACTTTGATGTGCTCAAAAGCCTAGGTGCAATGTAAAATAATTGGGTATGCTTTGCCAGGGTAAGTTGTTAATTTATTAAAATAATATGTTAATTTTAATTTACATTAGTCTATGTTGATTTTATTTCATTTACATTATCATCTATTGGTAAATCATATCAGCTGATTTTAAGGGCACTTTTAGAGCAAGTATTTACTTATCATCTTGTCCTTTACCAGTTCATTAAGGACCAGACATTTTGTTATTTGTTGATAAATTTAAGGAAAATTATGTCCCTTTAATCAATTCTTTTTGTCTCCATTTATCGCCTTGACAAAATGCTTAAAAATAAAGAAAGAAATAAGAATTAGTGGTGCAAATCAATTCCCACATATCAATAAATAGAAAACTTATAATTAGTCAAGCTGGATATATTTATTCAGGGTATATTCTGACTTCCAGTAGGAAAATGCTTTAAAAAAAAAAAAAAAATCTGTTTCTTTTGGAGATTTAAAGATCTTTTTTTTTTTTTGGTGATGAATGTGTAAATAATTGGTTTTATTTCAACAGCTAGTATGCTACAGATCTGCACCATGACAGTTGATAACTTAAATGGAAATAGCACAGCATTAGTATCCATTTCTGTGACATACTTCTTTCATGGCATGTTCGATACCCTCGATTGAACAACATTGAGGAAGAGACTTACGTCAAAAGTTTGTTGTTCGGTCTAGAGTACTTAACTACCCTAATTCCATTACGAAATCTTTATAAGATAATTTCAACGGTAGAAAGATAGCGTTATCCTACGGAAGTTGATCTTCCCTTTCACCCTTCTTCTTGCCCCCACCTTTTTTTTTGTCTGTGTGTGTTAATATTTAATTTAGAACATATAATCGATTTAGTTCTTGTGGTTTGATTCTTTTTAACCATGTAAATGAGAGTAATGATAAAGGAACTTTAATTAATTAAAGAATTTGTGGTGTGAATTTAACATGTACTTATGTTCACTATTGAGTCAATAACTCATTCACTGTTCAAATAGGATGTCAAATGTTCTGAACTGATAATTGTAAAACTCATGTTAATTTTTACTTGCATAAATTCTTTCTTTATCAGAACTGGTACAAATTTCTTTGATTGCTGTAATATTTTTGTGATTACTTGAATAAATATTGATTTGTTAGTTTATGTCTCATTTGTCATCAGTTTGAGCCCTATTTTCGGGGAAAATGTGTTTTGAAATATTGTTATTTTTTTTCCTGAAAATATGTAGTTGAAAAGTAAGAAATAGTTTTGAGTTTACATATAAAATTATTTTATGGAAAAAAGTGTGTATGAAAATGAGTTTTAGAAAAATAGAGTCCAAACCAGGGCACAGTTTCAAACGATTACGAGGGCAAAAAGTTGTAAATCATGACATTAAATACTAGCATTATACATGAATCCATAACCTAGAGATGCAAATTGACATTATCTTGTTCCTATTCATCACATCCTATGCAGGATGTCATTCTTGTGTGGAAAAAAATTCTGACGCTGTGAAAGTATCAAAATCCAAGAATTTCTTATCCTTTTTGGAAAATTCTAACCTAGTATGTTGACTTTGTTTGGTTCATATTTTTTAATCCTCATCTTTTCCAAAATTCATTTTTAACCGCATATTTTTTCAATAAAATAATTTTTTATCTGTAACTTTTTCTATTTTTAATTTTTTTAGCACACTTTTTCCAAAAGTTAACTTTTTTCCAAACAAGTCCTTATTCTTGACCATCTAAGTGAGGCCCAAGTAATCCTTTTCTTGAAGGAGGTGTATATGTTCCTCGAGAGTTGAGATCTGTTGTTTAATTATTACTGTCTAACACAATTAATTATTGGCGCAATTTTTAGTTTAACATGTCATCTCAAATTTACCTCATTAACTTTGCCATTAACCCACCAAAATGATGACATGTTAATTTCAAATGACATGTCAATAATTAATTGGGTGGACAACAAATTTCAACTCATTTTTTCTTAGTATTTCAACGGAAATGACCATCAATTATTGAATTAAATAAATGAATTATAATTCCATGAAGTTCAATTGAAGCAAAGATTTTGTATTAGATTAATCTTAAACACTGTACTTTAAATATTTTTTCTGAATTTGTTTTCAATTTGAATTTTATATGCACCTGTTCCTTGAAGTGACAATGCTTGTTTAATATTTGTGCATGATGTCAGTCTCAGTAGAAATTCAAAAGAGGTAAGAAGAACCCTAAATAGCCACTGTATAAATTTCAAGTACAAGGTGAACCATTCTGTGTGTGTGTTGGCAAACCCTAATGAAAACATGTAGCTGGGGATAGAGGGCCTTTCAGTTCCTCTATTTTTATACAATAATGTTATAGTGTCATAATTCTTTACATAATATTTGACATAATGTTACATGACATATCATTATTGGATTGATTTAAATACAGTCATTTTTCTCATCAAATCATCTGTTGTCTCCTCGAATTATGTCACTGCATCTGTTACATTTCTTTAGACAAAGTGGCAAAATCCATTTTTATAGGATTTAAAATCCATTACAAGCAATTATTATATGCTTAAGAGGTTTTCACCAAAATAATATTCAATCTGAACCTATTATTCTTGTAAATATAATAAGTTGTTTTGAATTTTGAATAGATAAAGCATTAAATCAAATCTAAACATAAAGTTAAGTACTTGAAATGGGAAATCTGGAAAGGTTTAAGAGGATCAATGCGTGTAACTAGGCTTTGAAGTTACCTAAACATACTTTTCAAGTAACCTTTTTATTTTCAAGCAGGTTTGAATAGGTTATATTTTCTTATAAGTAAAAAAAAAAAGTTATTTATTTTAGTAAATAACTTTCAAAATAAGTAACTCATTTATTTTTGACAGAAAAAATATCAAATTTCTACCAAAATATATAAGTAAAAAATAACTGTCATATTGTACCTAAACATAGGACCGAAACACAGGATAAGGGTCCAGTAGAAATTACTATCTTCTTATAAATTCTATGACATGTCTTGTGATTGCCAATTCATACTCGATCTCAGTGGAAAAACCAAATGCCAAATCCCTTTTTGTTATTTTTTTTTTCCAAATTGGAATATGCATGGAATTTCTTTTGCATTGATTTTCCAGCTTCTGGCAATTCTTTGATTGGTTAGATGCATTGTTGAGCTACTTGCCTCCTTTTTGTTGTTGTTGTGTGTGTGGTTCTGTTCATGAGTTTGGCTAGCTGTTTAAGTTAGGGTTTTGTACAAAAGAAAAAGAAGAAAAAAGAAAAACTCCTAGGCTGTGGGTACATCTTCCTCTTTCATTACTTTACTCTTTTCCATATGACACAATTCATATTTTTAAATTGGGTCGATTTTGGCTGTACAATACAAGTCATGAGTAGAATTACTTTGACATTCAACATTTACTTCTTTGAGAATTCAATGTCCCTTTTTCATGTGAGGTCCCGAACGTCGAATTTAGAACATATAAGGCCCTCTGTATTCCATCTCTCTAATGTTTAATTTATTTGCTTGTAACTTTTCATGTATTATATTCTTTTCTCAGTTCATTTTTAACCTTCAAAATGTGAGTTTTACGAAATTCAAATTTTAATTCATCCAAAGAGTGGAGAAAATGCAAAAAAATTTTGGTAGGTTTGGAATTCATATTCGATGAAATAGGAAACAAGAAGTTGAGAACCTATTTGTAACATCCAGCATAAGTTGGGATCCCAACTGTTAACTTTCCCCCCCAAACATAAAATTGACACTACAATGTAAAAAGTTTACCCCTTATTTTTTTGTTTTATTTTTGTTTAATAATGTCCGATCTTCCTTATCAAACATATTATTAGATTATAATAGTCATAGAGGCAGGTAAGTTTGTTGAAAGCTACCAGAACAGCAAGAAATGACAGATCAATGAGTAAGTCCACAGCATGAATAATTTAGCAGTTCAAGATATAGAGAAGCTATTGTGAAGAACAAAACATTTTTCATTTCATCCTTTCAAGTTATCTTTCTAAAGTTTCATTGCGAAGAGAGAAAATGTTTAAAAAAGGAACCGAATACCTGTGACAAGAGAACTATTTTCATCTTCGTTCGCTTGCGCTTCAGATGGCACTACGATATATTAATATCTAAAAAATTCTTAGCACTGATTGGAAGACGTCTTGGGAACATCTTTTGGCAATGAATGAATCATACCTTCAGCATACCAATTCTGAAACCCCTTTTCAAGAGCATCTCGCATCCATGCATGCCGGCAGCAGTCAATAGCCTTGGGGATTGTTAACCAACTTCTTTGTCGATGGCTCTTCTCAGGCCATGATTCGAGTTCCTCCTTCACAAGCAAAGCATACATGGCAGCTTTACACCAACCTTCTGGACTGAATTCGTCCAGCAGCGTCTTGCTCTTGAAAAGGTAGTATCCCAGGAAATGCTGAAACAAAAATTACAGCACGTTAATGGATAAAAGTTAGGCACACCGCATTGTTCATGTTGAGCAACAACATCATCATAACAGGGTTTTTCAATTTCTTTCTGCACCAGAGTTTTTAGAATTTGCTCTTCACACTTAACCTTATCTTTCCCCCCTATTCAGAGTACCATTATACTATTATCTGATCCTTTGCAATTATGCAAAATAGCAGAATTTTTACACCTGCTTAAACCGTTTAGTATGATTTACTTTTCTTCGGATTTCTGAATTTGACATGGGGAATAGAGCAATACAATATTTTGGGAAAATAGTGACTCTTGCCAAAAACTTAAACGATAGCTGGAAGACTTGATACTGAAAGTAATCGTTGATGCTGAAAAGGCCTGTTTGTTAGTTACTGATCGAAGGAAAAATGAGTCTAAATAATGGAGCAGGAATCTGGCATTCGAGAAGAAACAGGGTGAAGAAAGAGTTGGGAAGAGAAGATGAGAAATCATTATTCACGAAACAGGAAGTGGCAAAGTGACCCTGGCATGATTTTGGACGTTGTAGAGCTATGAAAAGACAAAGAATGAGATAGGGTAGAAGAAAAAGA